CCAGGGAGTGGCTGAAGTAGGGCCCCCATGCCTTTGTCTTTAGGTCGCTTGGTGGCTTCACTGACTCACTGCTGTCATCTATGAATTGCTCACAATCTGACGTTGACCTGGTAGTCGAAAGAAGCAGTAGGTCTAGGCAGTAGGTCCACAGGCCTCTTTGATCTCAGTTCAGATTCTCTTCCCATCTCCCCAGGCCCCATCCCCAATTCTGTAGCAAAGGCCTCCCTGGCTCCACATCAGTCCCAGTAATCAAATGCCCCTTCCCAAGCCTTCCCTATATTTGGCTCAGATGATGAGAAAGGAAGCTAGTCATTTTGACAAGGTTCATTGGTCCCATGGGGCGATGGGATTGGGGTGGGCTCACCCTGTCCCTGGGGCCTAGGCCCTTTTGGCACAAGCATGTGAAATATCCAGATGCTCAGGACACTCCATCTTGTTCCTCCCTGAGGTGCAGAACCAGACACTGACTTTCAGGGAGGCAGTGCAGTTTCCAGGAGCATCTGGTGATGGCGGTGATATCGGGGAGACAGAGCCAGCGAGAATGGGTGCGGGGAGACAGAGTCAGTGCTGTAAAAGTCCTGCGAGATCGGAGAGCATCTGCTCTCACCCTTCATGCATCCACATGCTGCCCCTATGGGGAGAGAGCTCCTTGCATTTCTAGCGGTCAGTTTCACATCTTCAGCAGTGGAGCTCTAGAAGGTGAGCAGTAAGGGTGCTGGGTTAAGCCTGAGTGTGTGGACTCCGGAGCGGGTGTGGGAGGAGGACGGTCCCTCTCCAGGCCCTGGAGGGGTGGTTCATGCCGGATGCATTCCGAACTACTGCAGACAGGGAGATGTAGGGGAGATGCTGGGGAAGAACTTCCAGCAGGGCAGAGACTCCATCACCCCAAGAAGAGTTTGTGGAAGCAAGGGAAGGGAAGTTACAGCTCTCCCCTCCACCTGCATGGAGGAGGCAGGACCGAGTGACCTGGTGAGGACTGGCTGGTTCTCTCCCTCCCCTCCTGCCCTCCCGGGAGCCTCCCTTGAGGTGACTCGGTGCCTGCTTGTTGAGTGGAACTGAGACCTTGCCCTGACATCATCCACAGTAACAGCAAGTAATAGCGCTTTCATGTTGGATTTTAGGGAAGGAATCTTCCAAACCCATTTTGGAGGTAAGGAAATGAACGCCCTAACAAGATAAAGGATGGAACATGCTTGAGGGCATGTGGCAAGAGGAAGGCAGAGCCTTTCCATGATGGTTCTTTCCATGATGGTCCGCCAACCCCAAAGTCCTGACCACTCTGTCCACCCGCCCACCCCTCAGGCCTCGCCTCCCAGAGTGAGCTCCTGCCCTCCTCCAGCCACTGAGTCTCTCCCGGGGGACAAACCCACATCCTGCATCCCAAAGAGGTCTGCCAAGCTGAGAAACGCCAGGGGCTGGTGGATGAGGACATGGGCAAGGAACCGGCTGCTGGGCTCTCCCCTGACCACCCATATGTTAGTAAAGCGCCTCGTTCCCTACCATCATCTTCTTTCTCCCAGCTCTGCTTTATTTTTCTTTTTTTTTGAAATGGAATTTCGCCCTTGTTACCCAGGCTGGAGTGCAATGGCACAATCTCGGCTCACTGCAACCTCCGCCTCCTGGGTTCAGGCAATTCTCCTGCCTCAGCCTCCTGAGTAGCTGGGACTACAGGCACACGCCACCATGCCCAGCTAATTTTTTGTATTTTTAGTAGAGACGGGGTTTCACCATGTTGATCAGGATGGTCTCGATCTCTTGACCTTGTGATCCACCGGCCTCGGCCTCCCAAAGTGCTGGGATTACAGGATTGAGCCACCGCGCCCGGCCTTTATTTTTCTTCATAGCATTTATATCTGCAATCTATGAAGCACCTATTTTGTTAGTGTCTGTTTTCACCAATAGACTGTTATCTCTACGGAGCAGGGACTTTTGTTTACGGCCATACCCCCAATGGCTCCAAGTATTTACATGAACAGTGAATGCCTGCTAGGCCTGCCACTCACTAGTCATGTGACTCTGGGCAAGTGACCCATCTCTCTCTTTATTTTTGAGATGGTGTGTTGGTCTGTTGCCAGGCTGGAGTGCAGTGGCACGATCTCAGCTCACTGCAACCTCCATCTCCCGGGTTCAAGCAATTCTCCTGCCCCAGCCTCCCAAGTAGCTGGGATTACAGGTGTGCACCACCACGCCCAACTAACTTTTGTATTTTTAGTAGAGATGGGGTTTCACCATGTTGGCCGGGCTGGTCTTGAACTCCTGACCTCAGGTGATCTGCTCACCTTGGCCTCCCAAAGTGCTGGGATTACAGGTGTGAACCACCTCACCCGGCCTCACTCACCTCTTAACATTCATCAAGCCCTTGCCTTGTGCTGGGCACTATTTATTTATGAGCTTTATATGTATTAGTTGATTTAAGCCCCACGCAAACCTATGAGGTGGTTACTATTATCATCCTCCATCATTGGCAGGAGAGTAAAATGAAGCCCAGAGAGCAGAGGCAGCCTGCTTAAGGGAGGTGGCTGGTAGCAGAGCTGGGATGTCACAGGTGCTTGACCTAGAGCTGAATTAATTGCTGGTCCACTCTGGCCCCTGCTTCTGCTGTGTGACTGTCTCTTGTTCTCTGCCCCCTGCTCCCCATATTTCCCGGCCTATAAAACAGGGCTAATCACAGCTTCTCCTTTCCTTCCCTCCTCCACTGCTCACTCCCCTCCCCAACAGGGAGGTTCTTTCCATGATGGTTCTCCCAACACTCCAAGCGTCCTCTCCTTGCTCCCTCTCCGAGGAGAGGATGGCACAGGCAAGGCTTGGTGCCGGGGGCCGAGGGCGAGGTTGAGGCATCACTGGCGTTCTGGCTGCCTGCAAGTGTAGGAAGGCTTCTTAGTTGGCCTGGGAATGAATCTCCTTCCTCTTTTCCCTCTCACACTCTTCTAGGTTTTAGGTTCTCTTCCGATGAAACGGGGAGGAGTTTCTCAGCCTTCGGTATGAGGGAGAGAATAGACAAGTGAGGGCAAAGGATACCTGTTTCTGGTAATATGGTGGTCTGTGACCCCTCCAGCTAAAACTAACGAAAAATCCTGCATAGAATTAAATCTTTTCAAAGCATTGAAGGGTCCACAAGGCAGTAAGAAATGAGGGGGTAAAAATCTGAGTAAAAGCAGAGTCTGTACTGGGGCCCTTGGTGCCCTGGCATTGGCCAAGCCAAGCCAAGCCTGAGCTTTGATTTTGATGGTCTGGGGAGTGAGAAAGAGAGAAGCGGAAGCCCAGGGCTCACCCCAGGAGGGGACACAAATGGGTGACCCTCCCATGATGCTGAGATCCGAAAAGCCTACACACTCAAACTTAAAGTCAGCGGGAATCCCATCCTGCCACCCACAAGACTTCATGGAAAGTTGTTTTGGTGCTGAGCAAGCAGGGGAAGGAGGAAAACAGCCCTTAAAGAGCTCCAACCACGGGCAGCCTTCATGTGACTCTGTAGCCCAAATTCATTCCCATCACCTGGGGTGGAAGGGGTAGAAAACTCAAGCTTAGATGGCTGGAAGTGCCCCTGGGAGGAGCACACTTCTTCCTATGCCTCAAAGACCTCCCACTGACGATTTCTCGCAGGGAGGCAAGCGGTTCACAGCCAAAAGCTGCGATCTGGTCAGGCAAGATCAGTCTTCTCATCTGTCAAGGGGAGGCTTAGCCACGTGCTCTCCAAGTTCCCCCCCGGAATGGAGATTTGTAGGAGTGCAACCTCAGCGAGGCAGAAGTGTGTCCCCACTTGGTATTCTGGGGGCATCTGCAGAATGAAGAGATGGGGTTGTGATGTGATGTGATGGATAAGCCAGCCCGTCTCCTCCAACAGAGCTGAAGGGCCTTGGCAGGAGGCTGTCCTCAGTTCCCAACTCTGGGGGAGGGCAGAGGGGGAATGAATGGGGAGTGGTGTCTGAGTGCAGACTGGCCTTTGATGTGCGCGTGGATAGGTGGGCAGGTGGCGCCTGTAATGGGGTTGCTGGGGCTCCCCAGGGCATCCTCAGTGTTGACCTACTTGAGCCCCCATAATTGCTTCCTTCCTTTATCGGGAGGCTACAAATAGGGATGCCCTGTCTCTAAGTTCCTACGGCTGAAACACCAGTGCCAGTGGTGAGTGCCAGCTGCTTGGGTCTTGCCCTGAGTTGAGTGTCAGGGCAGTTCGGGAAACCCCCAATAGCCAGCCTGACTCCTGACCCAGGGTCTGGCATTGGGAGCAGAGAGATGACCATAGCGGGACTGTCAGAGGGAGGGAAGTCAGACACGGTGGACGCAGAGGTTTCCTTGCACAGTGAAGGGCTGTCAGGGAAGTTTGGGCTGAGGGGTGTGCAGAGCTGAGGTCTGCCTTGAAGTGGGATCACTGGGCTCAAGGTTCTGGTGTTCTCCTTAGTCAGCCCCTCGCCTGCTCCTTGCCTCCTTGCTTTATTCCTGGGGACGGGTCAAGATTGGCTAAGGCTGCAGGGGGAAGAGAGGATTCCCACACCTCCAGGCACTGTGCTTCTGAAACAGCAGCAGTGGTGGTGCCAGGCAGGCTGGCAGGAGCGCAGAAAGGTGTGCTGAACCCCTCTGTGGCTCCTCATTCCCGGGGATCATGACCCTTTCCTCTGCTGGGAACCTGGACACCTTGCTCCAATCCTGGGCTGTTTACAACCAATTGAACCCTGGCAGTGCTTGGCACCCCCCACTCTCCTTCCCCTACTTTCCTGCCAGCCACAACCACACCAGCCATTTGCTCCCAGCAGCAGGCCCAGCAGTGGGCGAACCTTCAGGGAGAGTCTTGGCCCTGGCCACCCTGTGCTGCAGGACTCTCGTCCCATGAGGGAACCAAGAGTGAGTCACTGGTCTTGCATGGAAAAAACTCTTGCCTTCCTGGCCGCCTTAGGGTTTTCCCAGGCTGGAGGCATCATCCCAGAAGGGCGGTGGAAGGGTACAGTGGAAGTGGGGGGAGGTGAGCAATTCCAGGAAGGACTTCCCCTCCAATAGAAAAGGGTACCCCTGTACAGATCCTTCCCTCTAGGGGTCAGGGGGGTAACCTCAGGGGAGGCCAGTCTCAGATTGGTAAATACCTGAACCGGTCAACTCTCAAGAGACCATCTGGCTCCAGTTCCTGACTGGGCCTGCAAGGTGGGATGAACCCCACTTCACAGATCAGGCCCCTGAGACCCGGAGAGGCAAATGGCTCACCAGGCTTGCAGAGCTGGTGAGAGGCAGAGAGGAGCCCACGAGTTTTTCTTTTGGATGCAGCTTCCTTGAGTTCAGGGCAGGAGGCAGGGTGAGGGGAGTGGTGGTGAGGCGGTGTGGGCCCCTCTCAGGCCTGCCCCTCCCTCCCTGCTAAGGCCTAGCTTCTCCTCGGGCCTGAGGACAGAGAATTACAGGGCCAGGCTCTCCTGTGCAAGTTCCTGCAGGGCAGAAGGCTTCTAGGGCATCTCATGGGCTGGGGCAGACGGGGACCAAGCCACCCCTGGGTATTGGAGATAAGCAGAGAACCCAAGAATGCCTAAGGAGCCCCACGGTGGGGTGTGTGGGTGGTGGGGTGAGATGCCCTCTCTTTAAGGAGTTTGCAGTGATGTTGGGGCAATGAGACCTCTACATGTGGAAAATCACAAGAGGGCAGCAGGGAGATAAATGAATAGGGGCTGGTGTGGTCCAGGAGGGCTGCTCAGAGGAGGGGAAGCCATGGGGCCTGAAGCCTGGTGGAGGTTAAGCTGGGTCTGGGAACAGTCTCTGAGAAACATGGAAGGCAGAGGTGAGCAGGGGGCTGGCCTGGAACTCTGCTGTGAGTCACGCCCTTGTTCTGTGACAGTGAGGATGGCCAGGCCTCTGGAGCAGGCGGTAGCTGCCATCGTGTGCACCTTCCAGGAGTATGCCGGGCGCTGTGGGGACAAACACAAGCTCTGCCAGGCTGAGCTCAAGGAGCTGCTGCAGAAGGAGCTGCCCACCTGGACCCCGGTGAGTACGCAGAGTGTCCGTACCCTCCTCACCCGGCAGGAGGTAAGGCCTGGACTCTGCAAGGAGAGTCGTGGGGACAAGCCGGAGCACAGGTCCACAAGGGGAGGAGGCTGGACTGGAAGGAGGGAGTAGCAGAAGCCTCAGCTTCCTCATCTGTAAAATGGAAGGACAATCATCACACCTGCTGCCTTGCAGGGTTGTGAGAGGACTGAGCGAGAGCACCATGAAGAATGCCTAATGCGTAGTAGGCACTCAGTAGCAGATAGTAGGTGCTCAATTGACAATCTGAGAGGGTGGATTTGGGAGGGGATCGCAATGGGTGCATTACTGGAACAGGTAGGTTGAAGTCGGCCCTCGGAAGGGTGTAGTTTGGGGTGGGGTGGGTCCGCTTGGGAGAGGAGGGAGGGCAGTGGCGTGCGAGGCTGTTCTGCCCTCCTCATCCTGCTCCCCCACCCTTCCCCACCCCTCCCTTGCACAGACCGAGTTTCGGGAGTGTGACTACAACAAATTCATGAGTGTTCTGGACACCGACAAGGACTGCGAGGTGGACTTTGTGGAGTACGTGCGCTCACTGGCCTGTCTCTGTCTCTACTGCCACGAGTACTTCAAGGACTGCGCCCCAGAGCCCCCCTGCCCCCAGTAGCCTCCGCTACTACTCCCCCACCCTCTCTCCTGCACCCCTTCCAATCTGGACTTGCCAAGGTCTTCCGTGATCAGTTAACCCATTTTACCCAGGATGCCCAGCGAGGGAGGGGTAGAGCCACTCTGGGCCCCAGCCTGCCCGCCGCACCCCTACTGCCTCCCCTGTGGTTGGGAGGAGGCGGGATCTGCTCTGAGACCCCAGTGAGACCTCGATGGGAAGGGGCCTATTTAACTCCTAATAAAAGGCTGGCATCAGCTTGGCTTTGTTTGGTTCTTCTCCGGGGACGCGTCTGCTGAGCTCTTTGCTCCTCTCTGGACTTTTCCACTGCAGGAGGGCAGCTGAGGGCAGGAGCAGGAGGCTCCCCCAGGGACGTTTCAGACCCTGCAGAAATGCCGTGGCCTCCAGAGTCCAGCAGGAGGGCGTGGGGCCAACACTGGGACCCCCGTCCTCCCTTCCTCTCTCTTTCTCTGGGGGTCTTTGAGAGAGGGCCGCCTAAGTTTCTCCTGGGACTCAGTGCTCTTGATCAGGTGATATGACGAGGGTGGGGTGAGGGTGGGGTGGGGCTGTTAGTTCCCTGCCGCGGGCTGTGGGAGCCCAGAGAGCAGCACTAATGGGATTAGAGTGTTTGAGGTGTTTACTCCCAGCCAGGGCGGGGTGCCGGTGTGGAGGGGGCAGGGGGTATCTTGAGGCAGTCCCCATCCCTGAAGCCACAGCCCCCTGAGGGCCTTAACCCCCTACTTCTAACCCTCACTGAGCTTGCAGCCCACCCTGAGAGGTCGACCCAAATCCTGACTTCCCTATTTTGTGCCATTTCGCCTCTCACTCTCCACCCCAACCTGGATTCTTCATTCCCGACACTCACCCCAACTTTAAATGGCACCCCCGATAGCTTCTCCGAACCTGGGGTCTATCCATGAGACCCCACGCCTCATTGCCACCCATTCCATCACTACCTCACCCAGAACCTTTCCCATTGACATTTATGAGGTGGTCCCAGAGCCTCTTTTGTGTATGAACCTCTTCCCCTCCAGACCCCCCAGCTCCGGCCCTGGGCCTTACTTGGCATGGCAGACAGTACTGGGCCTGGGGATCCCCTCCCCCATTTTTGTTTTTTAATCTTTATTTATTTACTTTTTGAGACAGAGTCTCCCTCTGCCACCCAGCCTGGAGTGCAGTGGCATGATCTCGGCTCACTGCAACCCCCACTTCCCAGATTCAAGCAATTCTCCTGCCTCAGCCTCCTGAGTAGCTGGGATTACAGGCGTCTGCCACCACACCCGGCTAATTTTTTGTAATTTTTACTAGAGATGGGATTTCACCATCTTGGCCAGGCTGGTCTTGAACTCCTGACCTCATGATCCACCCGCCTCGGCCTCCTAAAGTGCTGGGATTACAGGTATGAGCCACCGCGCCGGGCCTTAATCTTCATTTTTTTTAAGAGACAAGGTCTCGCTGTGTTGCCCAGGCTGGAGAGCAGTGGCTTGAGCATAGTTCACTGCAGTCTCAAATTCCTGGGCTCAAATGATCCTCCTGTTTTAGCTTCCTGACTAGCTGGGACTACAGGCTCCAGCCACGCTGTCTAGCTAATTAAAAAAACTTTTTTGGCTGGGCGCGATGGTTCACACCTGTAATCCCAGCACTTTGAGAGGCCGAGGCGGGTGGATCACCTGAGGTCCAGAGTTCAAGACCAGCCTGGCCAACATGGTGAAATGCGGTCTCTACTAAAAATACAAAATTGGCTGGGTGTGCTGGGACATGCCTGTAATCCCAGCTACTTGGGAGGCTGAGGCAGGAGAATCACTTGAACTTGGGAGGCGGAGGTTGCAGGGAGCCGAGATCAGGCCATTGTACTCTAGCCTGGGTAACAAGAGTGAAACTCCATCTCAAAAAAAGAGGGGAGACTACTCTCTCCCTGTCGCCAATGCTCTAGGCACAGGCTGCCCTTCCTCCACCTCTCTAAAACTCAGGCTATGTACACTGGGTAGTGTGTATCACATCCAGGTCCCTGCTGGTGGTAACCATTGGGGCTTACCCCTTGCCCACAGGGGCCCACCTGGGGACAAGAAGCTTGGTTCCAAGGCTGGGCTGGTGGACGGTGCTGTGGCCCTTACCATGTCAGCCCACAGTAGGAGGGCAGTATCTGCTCTCCCCCATCCCCTGCTATGGGCAGGGCCTGGCGGGGGTATAAATAGGTCAGACTGCTGGGCCGTCCCCGTTCTTCCGCTCTCTACAACCCTCTCTCCTCCACTTCTTCTCCCTTGGCCTGGTGAGTTGTGTTGGCCTGACTGGCATGCAAGGGGTGTCAGAGGCCAGGGCTGGGGCAGGAGAAGGGGAGGTGGGTGGGGGCGAGATGTGCTAAACAGATCCAGATGTGAGATTCTGATGTGGAAGCTCTGGATAGAGTGTGTGTGTGTGGGTGTGTGCGTGGGTGTGCATGTGCACACACACACGTGCATGTAAGAGGGAGGAAAAAACAAACAGAAAAGCGAGCAAGTGGCTGGCTTTGAGCTCTCCAGGTGCTTCTGAGATGCGGCTTGCATGTGCTGTTGCTCTAGTGTGTGTCGGTGTATATGTGCCCGTGGGTATATGCACTGGCTCACGCTTGCTGGGTTGCATGCTCGGGTGCAGGAAGCAAAGCAAAGGCAGAAGGGAACTGTGGGTGTTTGTCTGGTGGTGTGCGCCAGGAGCCTCTGCCCTGCACCCAGCAGCCCAGGTCGAGAGCATGGCCTCTGCACCTTCTCCTCCAACCCTTGACTCTGCCACCTCACTCTGCCCCTCCCTAGGCTGAGCGCTAAGCGGCTGGTTTTTTTCCGCTGCAGGGCCCTGGGCAGGCCTCCAGCAGCCTCGCCCATTGCTGGGAGGGAGAAGAATGGCCAGGGCGGGGCCTTTGTGGCTGAGCTGTGGGAGTGGATTGACTGAGTGAGGGGTGGAAAAAATGCTGTTGTTGAGGAGAGGCCTGGGAGCTTGCTGCCTGAATCTCCAGAGCCTGTGCAGAGGGTCCTGCAAACATCCACTGTTCACCGCCCGGAGCATGTGTTCCCCACACCCTCCCACCAGGTGCTGGGCCCGCTGCTCTGAGCCCCCCCAGGGAGGGAGCAGAGTCTCACCAAGTGCTCCCAGCAAGGGATGTGAGTGCATCGCTGGGGGGTGGGGTAAATAAGAGGGTCTCTGTGCCTCCTGCCCCCAGATCCTGACGGCTGTCATGGCGTGCCCCCTGGAGAAGGCCCTGGATGTGATGGTGTCCACCTTCCACAAGTACTCAGGCAAAGAGGGTGACAAGTTCAAGCTCAACAAGTCAGAGCTAAAGGAGCTGCTGACCCAGGAGCTGCCCAGCTTCTTGAGGGTGAGTGGGTAGTGCCTGAGTGTGCCCCCACATGGGCGATTTCCCACAGAGGAGGCAGCAGTCCTGCTATAGAGAATTAGCTACAGAGGGCATCTATCAGTGGGGCGGCTGCTTGGGGTGGAAACAGTGAATACCACCACTCACGGACTGGCGCCCTGCTGAAAGAGGGCTGAGAATGAACTGGTCAGACACCACCAGGTACTCTGCACTGAAGGGAAGCCTAAGCTCAGGGTGCTAAGTAACTTCCCAAGGTGGTCAGTGCCCAGAACGGCCATCCGGGCCGGGACGGTGTGACTCTTGCCCTTACTCCAACGATGGACACTGAGTTTCTGTCTGGCTTGTGAAGATACAATGTGGAGATGATCACATGCCTGCAGACTTTCCCCTCAAACAATAACAATGTACATCGGTAGCAAACATTGCACAGTTTACATATGTCTTTCATGACTGAAATAATCCCTCATGGGATTATTAGAACAGCCTTGGGTGAAAATGTTGTGGCCCTGTCATTTTTCCGTTGCACCAGGTACTCAGACTTTCTCATCCAAGGAGCACCTTCTCCGCCCTAGCTTAGCCTTGGGGGTGGGAGTTCCGAACTGGACCTCCCAAAGGAGCCTTCCCGAGCTCTGGTCCGGAGGTAGAAACTGGGTCTGGTCCTGGCGCCACCCACTGGGCTTCTGCTTTCTATGCGTAGCCTCTTCTCCCTCCAGAAAAGGACAGATGAAGCCGCGTTCCAGAAGCTGATGAGCAACCTGGACAGCAATAGGGACAACGAGGTGGACTTCCAGGAGTACTGCGTCTTCCTGTCCTGCATCGCCATGATGTGTAATGAATCCTTTGAAGGCTTCCCAGATAAGCAGCCCAGGAAGAAATGAAAGCTCCTCCCATGTGGTTGGGGGTCTGCCAGCTGGGGTCTTCCCTGTCAGCAATGGGTACAGGCCCTCCCCCCCACCGCCCCGGCTCCTTCAGACCCGTGCTTGATGCTGAGCAAATTCAATAAAGATTCTTGGAAGTTTTGAGGCTGATGGCGTGAGAGACTCGGGAGCGTGGGTTGGAAACTGAGGGATATGTTGTGGGGTGGTGTTGGGGAGCAATGGGAGCTGAGCTGAAGTTTTATGGAGAGCAGACTGGGGAAGTCAGGGGAGGGAGGCGGGGTGACTAACAGTGTGTGTGCAGGGGCCGGCCTTGGTGGCTCACGCCTGTAATCCCAGCACTTTGGGAGGCCAAGGTGGGCGGATCATCCGAAGTCAGAAGTTTGAGACCAGCCTGGCCAACATGGAGAAACCCCGTCTCTTAAAAAAAAAAAGAGGAGAGTGTGTGTGCACAGGCAATCGTGTTGACTTGGTGTGGTCAAAGCCGGGAAGGGGACTCCCCCCACCACCCCAAGGCTTGGAAGGCCCCAGCTGTGGGATCTCAGCCAGCCCACTCACCCCTCCCGTCTCTCTCCAACCTTGCCTCTGGCAGGATCTTGAACTGAGGTTGGAATTAAAGGCCACATCTGCTCCTGGTTGAGATTTGGAATGGAGTTTGGGTGTCCTGGGAGCAAGCTGGAGGGAAAAGAATAGGGCTGAGTGGCAGGGAGGAAGTATTGAGGCGGGAGCGGGATGGGGAGGAGGGCTGGCACTCAGTGCTGACATTTACAGTCCAGGCCCTGTCCTGCCACCCGCTTCCAGATCACTGGCTTCAAACCACAGTGATGGATTAATCCTTTCCTGTCCATGGTAGTATCAGGGAGGGAAATGTGGAGGGAGATCCTGCTGTTTGCAGCAGCCAGGAACAGGGAAGATAAGCATGAGAATGCAGACGTGGTCCCTGGATGAGATCTGTGATCAGTCAGGAATCGAGCTCCTTCAGAGAAGGACAGGGGACCTCAAAAGAGATGAGTGGGGGGTCAGTGGGTGGGGTGGGAGTGAGGCAAGTAGTGGGAAGGTGACCATAGTTTTGGAGGCAAAATTCCACATACATGACCTGATAAATGAAATCGAGATTATTTCCCCCCAGAAAAGCTGAGGCATGATATTGCTTCCCCTTAGATAGGTTCAAGGCCAGAGGCTCTAGGGTGCAGTGGTGCGCTGAGGTTGGTTTTCAAGGCCGTGCCTCGGTGACACAGGGATCTTTGAGGAAGAGGTTCCTGGAGGTCAGGTGCAGAGGCTGGGGGGCTTGGTCCCACTGACCTCCTCTCAAGGGTCCTCTTTCCTCTCATCACGTGGGCTTTTCTCTCGGGTTTCAGAGGAGTGGGGCAGGTGACTCAGATGTTCCCTCAGGGTTTGCCCACAGAGACTTGGGAGGAATTTCCATTCAGGAGAAAGCCTGCTGCCTTCCATGCCCTCTCCATCCACCCTCCCCGGGAGCACCCTCCCCGGGGCCTCCACCTGCATCACGCTCTCCTTCAGAGACACCTGCTGCATAGTAAGCAGTCCCTGCTGCCTCTCCAGACTTGCCAGCTGGGGGTGGAGGAGTGGGGAGCAGTGCGGGGGCCCCCAGGGTGGAGTGGGGCTGCAGCAGTGATAGGACCTACACCCTGAGTCCAGTTCTGTTCTTGTACTTGGACACCGTCTGAGTGTCTCCTGGCATACAGGCCCCTACTCCTTCCTTGACAGCAGCCTGAGCCTGAACATCCCTCCCCAGTCTCCAATCTCTACCCCGGGGCGCGCTTTAGCCCTTTGCTGGGTGCCTTCCCCATTTCTGATTCTCAGGCCTTCATGCTGAGAGTCTCCCATGAATCCTTCCCACGAAGATCACTGAGGCTTAGAATAAATCATTAATTTTTTTCTTTTTTGAGGCAAAGTTTCCCTCTTGTCGCCCAGGCTGAGTGCAGTGGTGCGATCTCGGCTCACTACAACCCCTGCCTCCCAGGTTCAAGCGGTTCTCCTGCCGCAGCCTCCCAAGTAGCTGGGATTATAGGCATGTGCCACCACGTCAGGCTCATTTTTGTATTTTTGGTAGAGACGGGGTTTCGCCACGTTAGTCAGGGTGGTCTCGAACTCCTGACCTCAGGTCATCCACCTACCTCAGGCTCCCAAAGTGCTGGTATTACGGGAGTGAGCCACTGCGCCCAGCCAAAATCATTAATTTAAAAGCCCTTTAAAAACCTCTGGGTTCATATTAACTCATGATCTTGACCATATCCTTGGCAGAAAATATCATCCCCCACTGATCCCCATCTCAAGGGGTGTCTTCTCTGCTCCTGGAGTAGGTGTCAGGATGGGTGGGAGGGTCCCAATGTGGAGAGCGGCCTAGGACATGGAGAGATGATGCCCTGTGTTTGGGCCACACCTCTGAGGTTTTCTCTCCAGGACAGCCTGGTTTCCCCTCTTCAGCCTATTGTTTCACTGGATTTCAGATTGTGAGTTCTGATTTTTGGTCAGAAGAATGAAGTTTCTGGGACTGCGGATGTGTGTGCCGTGGGAATTCAGTGTGTCTCCAGCTGTGAGACTGGCAGAAGGGGTTTCTCCCCAGCTCCATCCCGGGAGGCTCTGTCGTGCGCCTCCTCAAGTCCCCAACCCCTTCCCATTGGCCCTTTCCCTCCCCTGGCTTCCTGCGGACAGAAAGCAGGGGAATAAAGGCAGAAGGCAGTGTGAGGGAGGCTGTGTTTGCTGCCTGGGTTCTCTGGGCTCACTCCCATGGTGGTAAGTTCTTCCTATGTCCCTGTTCATCTGTTATCTGGTGGGTCATGCTGGATGGTGAGGGTGATGAGCAGTGAGGACCTCCACCAAGGAGGCCTGGTGCTACGAGTGGACATGTGCTCAGGGAGGAGAGGGCAGAGCCTTTGGAATTTCTTGAGAAATGGCTCTGGGGTGGAGGTGGGGGTCTGGGCCAGCCAGGATGCTCCTGCATGTGCACGGAGGCCCTTGCCTTCAACTGTGGTCCCAGCTGAGTCTCCTTGAGGTGGGAGAGGCTGAGGTTTTGGGTGGTGGGAGAGGAATGACGGGTCCGGTTCAAGAATGGCAGGGAGGGCCTCGGGCTGGAGGTGAGAACTCTTCACGGGATTAACCTGCAGCCTCAAGTTCTGAGGGTGTTGCCTCCTTCCTCCCTAAGGGGAAGCTCCAATCTGTCTCTTTCCTTATTTGGGGGTTACTGTGCCGTTGGAACCCAGACCCTCATTTAAGCGCAGCCTCTGGATCCAGGTTTTGGAATGACCCTGCAGATTTCAGCAGGCCCCCTGCCCACTCTGCCCATGGACCTGTCTGTGTGTGCACTGCTCTGGCCAGTGCTTGGAGACCGGCGGGGCCAGCTCAGCCACCTCTCTACTGCTCCTTGCCGAGACTTCATCTCCCAGTTCCAGCCCAACCCTCTGTCAGCCCTGGACTCGCTCTTTGCCCTGTCCCCCACTTTAATAATGGGACAGTCCTAGGTATCAGGAGATTCAGGCCCTGGGGCAAAGGCTGGTGACTAAGGTGGGAACTGCTGCTGGAAACCTGTTCCCAAAGTGCAAGGGGCAGAGAGACAATCCTGACCCTCGATCTGCTCCGCCATCTGCCACCAGGCCTTTTAAGGAGGTCGTCTTGTCATCTTTCTGCCCCACGCCCCCGTTTCAACAACTCCCAAGCAGGAGAGTCTGAGGTCTCCTTTGGGGTCTGGCTGTTCTCCTTGCACCAGCTGCTCCAGAGTTTGCTGTGGGCCTCGCTGTATCCTGTGCTGATATAGATGGGTGCTCCTCTTGGCGGATTTCGGCCTCATCCTGGGCTCCAGTCTCTGATACTTTGAGGGAGGGGCCTTAGAGGTAGGCTAGCGCTGGCAGTGGTCAGAGCAGGTCTGACTTCCTGAGGAATGAGATCTTCCCCTCTCCCTCTGCAGAGCTGCACACCGTGATGGAGACCCCTCTGGAGAAGGCCCTGACCACTATGGTGACCACGTTTCACAAATACTCAGGGAGAGAGGGTAGCAAACTGACTTTGAGTAGGAAGGAACTCAAGGAGCTGATCGAGCAAGAGCTGTGTCTTGGGGAGGTAGGTGATCGAAGCCTTATCTCCACCCCAAAGACTGAGTGCTCCTCTGGGGGACACATACCTGTCCTCAGGGTACTCCAGCCTAAACCAGGGGCAGGGTGGCCAAGGGCTGCAGACAGAGACAAAGGAAGACGGGGGACATTTTGGGCCAGCAAAACTCTAGCCCTCTGTGCAGGAGGATGGGTTAGGGGCTCACTGAGAAGGAGGAAGGGCTGAGTGTGGAGGGTTTAGAGAAGGAGATTGAGGAGCCTTCGAGGGTGGGGCCACGCTCTCGCAGCAGTGGCAGAGCCTAGCTAGGGGTCGTGGGCAGTGAAGGGATGCAGGGTGTCCAGGTCCAGCGGTTCACGACTCAAGAGTAGGGCACCCTGCCTGATTCTTTGCTGTGTGCACAGCAGGGCCAGAGCTCTCTGGTGGTGCTGGCACTCAAACGGAAAGGTTAATTTGTAAACATAGGGTGTTGAGGAGACAGACAGAACTGGTTCTCACCAGATGGAGATGGCGGGAAGGAGGTGACTGACAGAGGGGAAGGCCCATGAGGTGGTTATAATACAATATCCCTGAGGACAAATAGTTTTGAGACAGTCTCACTCTGTCCCCTAGGTTACAGTGCAGTGGTGCGGTCATAAGCAATCCTCCCACCTCAGCCTCCTGAGAAGCTGGGACTCCAGGCTAGCGCCGCCACACTCAGATAATTTTTAATTTTTTTGTAGAGATGGGGTCTTGCTATGTTGCCCAGGCCGTTCTTGAACTCCTGTCCTCAAATGATCCTATCGCCTCGGCCTCCCAAAGTGCTGAAATTACAGGCATGAGTCACTGTGCTTAGTCTTATTATTTTTACAGTTAAAACAAATCGGTGCTCGAATATATCAAATAACTTGTCTAACGACACCCTGCTAGTGGGAGGCTGAGCCGGTGTTCTGGGCCAGGCCTGGGAACCAATCTCCCTGTTTCCTTTTTTTTTTTTTTTTTTTAAGACAGGGTCTCACCATGTCGGTCAGACTGGTCTTGAACTCCCGACCTCAGGTGATCCGCCTGCCTTGGCCTCCAAAGTGTTGGATTACAGCCGTGAGCCACCACGCCCGGCCCCTGTTTCCTTTACAGTTTAGCCTGGGGCCTCTCCATCTATCACACCTTGAGCCCTGGTAGGCCCTCCCAGAAAGTTCACAGTGTGCCACATGGGCAGGGGACAGAAGCAGGTGCGGGCGTCTCCAGGCCTGATCTCTGGCCTTCTGCCAGGCTCCCTGCTTCCTGGAGTTAATGAGGGCAGAGGGAGGGGCCCGGGGTCCAGCAGGGGTTAATTACAGAGGAGAGATGCCTGGGGAGGGCCTGGCAACAACTGGAGCCCGGGCTGGGGTCTAGGGTCATGTCACATTCAAGTAGGTTCCACCTCTGTAAGTCCCAACATCCTGTCTCCAGGAAAACCTGTAGCTGACGGCAGTGATGAGGAGACGGCAGGATCTGCCTATCTGTATTTTCTTCCTGTTCCACCCAAAGGACCCTGACTCCATCATTCTGGTGGAGCCGGGCTGGGATGTCAGGGGGCCAGGCAAGAGTGCACAACCAGGCTCCAGGCTCCAGGCAGGCCTCTTTTACGGCTCTCCTAGCAAGGGAGGGATACAGTGGCTCCACAGCCCCAATGCACTGCTCTCATTGAGAGACACTTTGTCTGGGCTCATTCTCAGCTAGACCTTAGAATGAGGAGAGAGTCAGTCAGAGACTTGGATAACGCTCAGTGCCACACAATCAGCAAGCTGTTTTTTTTTGCTTTTTTTTTTCTGAGATGGAGTTTCGATCTTGTTGCCCAGGCTGGAGTGCAATGGCATGATCTCACTCATTGCAACCTCTGCCTCTCAAATTCAAGTGATTCTCCTGCCTCAGCTTCCCAAGTAGCTGGGATTACAGGCATGTACCACCACGCCTGGCTAATTTTGTATTTTTAGTAGAGAGAGGGTTTCACCATGTTGGTCAGGCTGGTCTCAAACTCCTGATGTCAGGTGACCCACCCACCTTGGCCTCCCGAAGTGCTGGGATTATAGGCGAGAGCCGCTGAGCTGTTTTTATCAGGTGTTGGTATGAAACCTAGACGATTGTTTCTGTTGCTGGCGGATAGTGTTTCGCGAAAGGCAGGCTAGGCCAGCGTTCCTGCTGTCATTTATTTCCATTCAGGAGTCAGGTTTCTCTTCCCCTACCTGGTGCCAGGCCCTTCCCTAGGTGTGGGCAGCGGGCAGACTTTGGGGGTTGAGATCCTGACTCACCTGAGGCTCACCCTGAGGCTTTGAGGGGGGTGACACCATGCGGTGGTGGGAGGGCAGGGTGGGGAGTGGGGTCTGAGCTGTCCCTCCACCTGGTCTGTGAAGAAGATGAAGGAGAGCAGCATCGATGACTTGATGAAGAGCCTGGACAAGAACAGCGACCGGGAGATCGACTTCAAGGAGTACTCGGTGTTCCTGACCACGCTGTGTATGGCCTACAACGACTTCTTCCTGGAGGACAGCAAGTGACTCGGGATGCCCTCCACCCTCACCCTGTGTCCCTTGCCGCTGACCTTGGCTGCTCCTGTCACGGCCCCTCTTTGGTCCCCTGCCCTCCTCTCCTCCCCGATGGACCCTTCCACAGGAGGAAATAAAGTTTCCATCACAGGTGCTGGGAGTCTGGTTTTGAAGATGTCTGGTCTACCTTGGCCTGGGGAAAGGGGAGCAAGGAGGGGGGTCTCCCCTTGAGTGGGTTGAGACAGCCTCTGTCTCTGGGGGTCAGGGTCCTGGGCTCCCACTCCTTTCCTCTCCTTCGGTGTGGACGTCATTGGTCTTGTCCTGGTTTAGTTTTGCCCTCCTGGGGAAGTCAGGCCAGGCAGGAACTCTGCGAGGACACAGAGGAAGCAAAGAGAGAAAGTTGGTTGGAGAGGAGGACACTGGGAGGGGCTGGGAGTGGCTCCTGAGGGCCGTGATGGGCAGGCAGGCTTGACTTCAGAGCTCAGGGGAGGCCACCCTGGCAGCACTGGTAGGAAGGGCAAGTCTGCCTCTCATCCAGCCCCTCCCTCTCCTCCATTTCCCCTTCAGCAGCGCCCCGCTCATCATCTCTGGGGGCCAACCCTTTCCCCTCTCCCTACCTCCCTTATCAAAATCTTTTCTCAGGGGAGGCTCTGAAAAGGCTTTCACTAGGAATGGTGCTTACAGGGCTGGGCTCCTGCCTGCACGCATTAACGCAAGGTGCTGTCGTGAATGGAATTTGGGGCAGTGAGGGGAAGGCTGGAGGTGTAGGTAGGACTTGTTGCTGGTGGGGGGTGGGTGCTGCAGACATCCTTAGACCGACCGCTGGCTACTCCCCCTCTCTCCTGTGGGGTGACCCTGAGTATCCTCTGCGGGACACCGGCATCCCGCGAGGCGCCCTCCCTGCCCACATTGAGGCTGCGCAGACTCGAGGGTCACATTCACGCTCTGGCAGAGGAAGCAGGGGTGACCGCCGCCGTCCTCCTCCTGCTCCCCTCGCCGGGTCACGTGTCATGAAGAACGAGTTGAGCTGCGCAGCTGGGGGAAACTCCCCGTCACCAGGCGTGCAGTGGGTTCTGTTGGGCTCCCCTATCCCGTCCTAACCCAGAACAGCCCCGGGCAGGAGGCGTGGAAAGTCGAGGGGGGACACCGGGGTGTGCGTCGTGTAAGCCACGGCGCGGGGTGGGGCGCGGGCGGGACCTGCGTGGGTGGGGTGGACTTGGCCGAGCCGGCCTCCCGGGCACAGACCGCTATAAGGCCAGCCGGATTGCGACTCAGCCCATCCCCTCGATTGCTCCCGTCGCATTTGGCAGCCTCGCTACCGGTGAGTTCTCCCCAGGAGCCCTGGGTACTTTCCAGGGCCGGCTGCCCTCACGCTGGGGGTCCAGCCACCCCCTGCCCAGCCTGGCCCCTGGATCCAGACTGGGGCCATCTGTGGCCTCCCCGGCTGGAGGGATAGTCAGGAGCAGCAGTGCTGTGCCAGGCAGGCCCCGGGCTAAGGGATCCCAATGGGGTGTACTCTTTTGGGGTGTGGAAGGGAGTGCCTTGGGTGTGTCACTGCCACCATGTGTGGCCCTGCGAGGCTGTGCTTAGGGCCTCCTGTGCAGCCTCCATCCCCCTCCCCTGCCCAGCCATACTCCATAACTTCTGGATCCCCTAAAGGACAGTTCTCAGCGGTGCCCAAAGCTGCTGTTCCTATATGATTCTTAGAATCCTTAAGCCACCTCTCCTGCCTTGGCCCTAGTCTGCCCTCTCCTTCCCCTTCAAGCCCTGGGCTGTCTCCTCATGCCATTGTGTGTGATCTGAGACTGAGTGGTCGGGGCTAGTGCTGGCAGTGTTATTGGGGTGTGTGGGTGAGAAGTCTTTGCTCCCACGGCACTGACCAGGGCCTCTGCTGCCAGCTCCAAGCCCAGCCCTCAGCAATGGCATGCCCCCTGGATCAGGCCATCGGCCTCCTCGTGGCCATCTTCCACAAGTACTCTGGCAGGGAGGGTGACAAGCACACCCTGAGCAAGAAGGAGCTGAAGGAGCTGATCCAGAAGGAGCTTACCATTGGCTCGGTGAGTGGCCTCCACCCCAGGGCCCCTCTTCCTCTTCCCACTGTTGTTCGTTGGAAGCAGGATTAGGGGAGGGAGAGGTGCCAGGTATGTCTGACTCACATTTACCCACATTCGGAGGCCCTGCTCCACATGTCTTACTGAGCTGTAGAACTACTCCCACAGCGGGTAGGGGATGCTCCCAGGCTGATGTCTGACTCACATTTACCCACATTCGGAGGCCCTGCTCCACATGTCTTACTGAGCTGTAGAACTACTCCCACAGCGGGTAGGGGATGCTCCCAGGCTGATGTCTGACTCACATTTACCCACATTCGGAGGCCCTGCTCCACATGTCTTACTGAGCTGTAGAACTACTCCCACAGCGGGTAGGGGATACTCCCAGCCTGATGACCATCCCTCCAGGTGAGGACCAGCGGCTGAGGAGTAGCTGAGGATATGTAATGCCAAAGTGAAGCCCAAGGTGGACATAGGTCCTTGGAGACAAAGATGCACAGAGCCACTTGCAGAGAGGGGGGCCTGGGAGGGGGAAGGACAAGAATCCAGGGTTGTCATCACCCCTGAGTCTGGATTTCACATTCTATCACATTAGAAGCTGCAGGATGCTGAAATTGCAAGGCTGATGGACGACTTGGACCGGAACAAGGACCAGGAGGTGAACTTCCAGGAGTATGTCACCTTCCTGGGGGCCTTGGCTTTGATCTACAATGAAGCCCTCAAGGGCTGAAAATAAAGTGGGAGGAAGGTGAAGACACCTCTGGGGGTCCCCTCTGAGTCAAATCCAGTGGTGGGTAATTATACAATAAACTTTTTTGGGGTCAAATTTCCCCTTGTGTCCTGGCTTCCAAATGATTTCTGTTCCTCCCGGGCTTCCTTGACGTAGTGGGGCACCAGCCATCCGAAGATTTGCTCACCATCAACCTCTGAAAATGACTCACTGACTCCCTAGGCTGGGGGACCCACCCTGACAAGGCCACCGCTAGCACATTAGGTGCCTTTATGTGAATGAGGAGAGATGCCCCTCTTGGGTTGGAGAGGGTCCTGGGATGAGCTTAGAGATGGATATGATTCCTGGACTGGGCTGTGATGGGTCTGGGAGCAGAGATAGTCCCAGAGGCTCCCAGATGTGTTTTGCGCTGGGTGTGGCAAGAGGGGCCCTGGGGTGGGGCAAGTTCCCTTTCTCACCACAGTGCAGTGGGCAGAGAGGACACATCTGAGATGACTGAGGTTTGCCTCAGGGAGTTTTCCAGACCAGTGAGGACGATGTGTGACAGTCTACTGCGGCTGCCCAGGTACCGGTGGAGTAGGGAGGCATGCTCTAGGTGCTTCCCTGCGTTCAGGGATGGGGACTCTTTGTTGGGATGGTGGTCTAAGGAGCTGGCAGCTGCACCAACACGTGAACCACGGGGAGCCCAGTAATGGGGTGGGGTGTCCCTGCAGCCTCAAGATGATGACTCACCCGGAGGTTCCACGGGAGCCTCGCCTGGACCTCAGCCCCCATCAGAGAAGATGACTAAATTGAATTATTGTTCATCGTCTTCATTAGTGTTTCAGGCAGGAGGGAAGGGGATAAGGGGGGTAAACGCTGTTTCAGGGTGATGCCACATCATTCAGCCTCTCTAGACCTGGTCTGAGCGGGGGCAAGTTCTTCTCTAGCTCTTGGGGAAGAGATCTTGACTTCAGATGGAGACCACATCCTTCTTTCCCTCTCACCTCCCCGCTTTCCTTGGGGACCCAGCTTTGTGAAATTAAGTTGTCTTCTGTCTCCACTGGGTGGGGATTGGTAAACAACTGGGAGCCGCACCTTCTCTATTGCCTCCCTGCCCTGCTGGGAGAAGTCGGGCTGTTGGCTACAGGAGACGGCGGGCGGAGGGGCGGGGGCCGAACGCCCCCACTGCACAAACGTGCCCAAGCCTTGGCTCTATTCAGCTCCCGCTGGAAAAGTACTCGCTTCCCAACTCCTCTGGCGCCCGCTAGGTCCCCGCCCTAAGCCGCTGTCCTCCCCTTTCCTCCCCGCCCCTCGCCGCCCGCCTTCCAGCTGCAGACAACTTGGGGCTCGGAGCGAGCGCCCTCCTGTGGTGGACAGAGAGCAGGACGCCGCGGGGACGTCCGGGTTGGTTTCTGAGTCTCTGGCGGTGGGGCGGTGGCCTGGCAGTCAGGGAGTCCTTAGGAAGAAGACAGACTTGGGCGGCCCGGGAATGTCGGGGTAGGGGATCCTTTGGCTCCCGGCACTCAGCCCCAGAATTAAGCAACTCAGCTTCACAGTCGACACACCCACCATGAGTAAGTCAATGAGGGGAAGGCGGTCCCTTTGCAAAGACAAATGACATATGAACTCTGCGCCTCCCCTCCCCTCCCTGCAGGGCTAGAAGACCTCCGCACTCATCAGTGCCGCCTGAGAGGGAAGAGGACTTTCAGGGGCAGGAAGCCCGCTGCTGCGGGGAGGCAAGGCCGTCCGCCAGGTGTTCCTGGGGAACTCGGGTGGGTGGGCAGGCCGCGGGTGCAGGAGAATCAACACAGGTGCACGGTCCACCTGCTAAGTAAACAGGCGTGTTCCTTTCCTTTCTGCTTCCCCACAGTGGTGGAGGGGAACTGGAACATGGACTTCAAGAATAAAACAAAAAACAAAACAAACAGCAAATCTTTAGGGGGAATACACACACACACACACACACACACACACACACACACACACACACACATACATATATTGAGATGAAACCTCATTCTGTCGCCCAGGCTGGAGTACAGTGGCGCCAGTCTCAGCTCACTACAATCTCCGTCTCCCGGGTTCAAGCGTTTCTCTTGTCTCAGCCTCCGGAGTAGCTGGGACTACAGGCGCGACACCACGCCTGGCTAGTTTTTGTATTTTGAGTAGAGACGGGGTTTCACCACATTGACCAGGATGGTCTCGATCTCTTGACCTCCTGATCCGCCAGCCTCAGCCTCCCAAAGTGCTGGGATTACAGGAGTGAGCCACCGCACCCGGCCTAGGGGAATAATTTTTAAGGTTTTATTTATTTATTTATTTGGCAGGGGAGGGGAGGGAGGCAGCATTTACAATGGAATATGGCAGGTGCAGCAGTCAAACTGTGGAAC